AATAGAAATAATATTTTATGGATATACCAAAGAAGTGTTCTCTAACATTGGTGACACAGATACGTATTTTTATGATAATTCCTACAAATGAATAGATGAAAACACTTCAACATTCATTAAAGATGTAATTGGATGTAATACAGCAGGTAATAAGTCAGTAGGCTGCACGCTACATGACAAAGCCAAGCAAATATATAAAGTAGGTTATAACAGTATACTGGTCAGCTGTCATTTCCCATGCACTGTGTGAAGCACTGAATTGGGTAAGGAGAAAATACAGTAATGTAGTTAATGATCCAGTGTACAGAGAAGGGGGCTAGATTATGCTTGTTTCTTAAGTCTTATTCTCTTTCCTTATCTGAGTCCCTGACTTTACAGTCTAATGTTTTTAACACTCTTCCTGTAAAATGCATTGCAGGCCTACACACTCACTCTGCTGAAAAGACAAACAAGAAAAAGAAAAAAAAAAATCACCACCATAGAAATTCTTTATATCTACCATAGCAATAATCTGAAAAATTGGAATATTTAATTATATAAAGAACCACTATGAACCCACGGGTAGTAAGAATATAGTATTATAGAATCTGGTCTGACTGAAAGACTTTAACATGAAAAATGCTCTTCAGTGTTTATGTTTTTTATTTCTATAAGCCATGTAATCACCTTCAAGAACAGCACCAACTACATTCAAGTTGCCTTTTAGTTCCTACATACAGCTTGGCCAAAATTCCTTCTCTCCTCCCTGTTGTTAGTGAGATTTTCCACAGTGAACAGTTGGGACAGGAAGTGAGACACAAATCATAGATTCTGCACAATCTCCTCTAACACTATTGCCTCACTCCTGGGATGCAGCAGACATCAAGAGAAAGCACCTCTCTCACACGTACTTTGCAGGTCAGGAACATCTGCTAAATATGTCTATAACCTTAATGAACTAAAAACATGAATATAGATAAATTGTATTAAAAGGTTTTATAACAATGATGTAACAAAAGGAATTCCTTTTTTTTTTTTTTTTAGAGATGATCACCTTTAAACAGGATTATTACCATAATATAGAAGTGCCACCAATTTCAAGCACTTCCTTATAGGTTGATACCACTCATTATTGAAAATCAGAAGCTAACCTAATTTGTATTACATCTAATGAGGGCATATGAAAAGGAAGACTGAAAATAAGTTGCATCATATTGAAATGGCCCTTCTTTTCAAATGTTGAATATTTCTAACAAAACAATCTGTGACTGTAAATAGCTATTCTAACACTGGATGATACACCTCATGCCTATCAAACACCGAACTCTAAAGTTAAAATGACTTATATTTTTTCCAATTAAGTACATTCATAATTGCTATCAAAATGTACACAAACTGATGAACATACAATAAATTCTTTTAGAATAATACCTAGAAAGCATAAAGTTCTGAATTTGAAAACAATTTCTTTCTTAGGTCTAGATACTCAGAAAAGAATCCTAATTTCTTTTTCCAGTTAGTAGCAATTGTCCACTAACTTGTTTAACATTTATGAAGTTAATATTAATTTAAATTTAATAGGATGACTTTTACACTTCATAATGTAATGCACACAAAAAAAGTACCACACTTACTACTGAAAACACAGACAATTGCAATAGGAAACTTACTATACCAATCTCTGGCTGAAATCAACCTACACTATTCTTTCATTTAATATCCTTCAGAATATGGTTTGCTTATATTACAAAGAGAAATATATACACGAACCATTTGGGATTATGTCTAACATCATACAAACAACAAAAACATGGTTCCAGCCCAAAGACACTGCTACATATTGTGTTGATTCTGCAAGAAGAGGAACACTATTGTCAATGGGCTCCCAAACATGTAATGAGGTTGCACCCAGATTCACGTACCCTTCTCTAAAAGAGGGACCTGCAAATTGTTTTAACTGCATAATTTTGCTTCCCTGCTTATTCTTTATTTTTCTCCTAAATCAAAATATAGGCATTTCAAATGTAGAAAATTAATGTTTTGGGTTTTTTTTTGTCATATGCCTGTTTCTATGTCTTTATATTTATATTATATACATGCATATATATATATATACATATATACATATATATATACATATATATATACACACACATACTTAAAAAAAGCCCACAAATTCAGCTTTACAAGATAGCAAAAGCTTCAGGGATATTTATTTGTTGGAATAACTTCAGATAAAACACTGAAGAAGTTCACAGGGAAAGAAATTGAAGTTGTACATAGGTGACAAATTCAAAACATACAAGGTAGCCAAAAGCACAAAGTAAAAGACAGACAGAAGAAAAAATGTTTGTTTCTCCTCTTTCAGTTAAAATAATTTTTAAAACCAACAACTCAAGAATAATTGATTTTCTATTTCCATAACATTAATAAAATAACTATATCCTTAGGCTGTTAGTTGTTGTGACAAGCAAAAGACCTCTTAATGCTATGGAAAATGAAGTATGAAAGTGAAATACATGCACAAAAAAACATGTACAGTTCTATATGTTATAAATATAATTTAAAAAAAAAGAGTCACCTTACATTTCTCCATTAAATACTTCTGCTAAAATAAATCTGCCTAAAATCACTGCATAAACAGTGATACAGCAGGTAATTGAGATTTAACCATCTATGGCTCAAAAGAACAAAAACAAAAACTCATTACAAATCATAAACAGACACCATTATAATGTTCCCTCTATAACTATGCCTAGCTTTTATACCAGAGAAGAGCACGCTTTCTGATTAAAAAAAAAAAAAAAAAAAAAAGAGAAGGGAANAAAAAAGCAGCCATAAACACAATCCTGGAGAGATAAACTTGACAGGAACTACATAACTACAGTAGCTCATTTCCTGTCCATATCTCATATATTTAAAACAAACCCCCTTAAATTAAAAATAAGTCAAATAAATTCACTCGTGTTAACTCAATAAGCACATTTCTTTGTTAAAGAAAGAGTTGTTTGAAACAACAAAATAAATGTTTCAGTTAACGTCACTTCCTAATGATCAAAACTACCCAAGAACTACAAGTACTTCTGCACAGTCCTTTCTTTCCTGTAAAGCAAAGTTGCACTCGGCCCCTACGCATGCTACAGACCAAAAGAAAACAGCAATTCAGCTACACGCAGAGATAGAGACAGTTAAGAGACAACTAGTGGCTCCCTCTGCAAATCGTGAAGTTTAAAAATAAAAAGCTGATTTTTCGAAGAGTAAATGGTTCCTCTCCAGGCACGTAGGCCTGAGGCCCTGTTGCAAACAGTGTCTAACAGGACCAGGCAGCACAAAGACAGGAATGGGAGATTAGTGGGAGGGAGGGAGGCCGGGATTGGGGCTCAGCAGGATCTTCAGGCTTTTTAAAATTCAAACTGCTCCCTGACCAATACAAATCACGGACACGCTACTGACTACTACACGGATTTACAGCATTAAAAACACGCCTTCTACGTGACAGCTATATTAACTTCACCCTTCTAAACATGTATCAGAGCACTCAAAGCCATCATAGCACGGTTTTTACAACTCTAAACACAATACTCCAGAAAGTTACTTTACTAGATACAATAACCACTTACTATTACAACAGATATGCCTAAGCAACTCAAAAAACTACTTGAAAATTTACAAAGTATTAGCTGCTTGTCATCTATTAATTTTCTTAGTAAATGAAAAGTGAAACTCATTATCTTAAACTTTCCACCAATTATGTAATTTCTGAAGGAGTACTTTTATTAGTTTGGAGGATGTTTGTTTTAAAATCGACCTCAATTTATAAGAACGTTCTCAACCATATTATATAGAAAATGCAAAATTTATTTTACTGAAAATTAGCTACCATTTATTTGTAAAGATCTAACATTTAATCAACAATCATTTACAAAACACACTTGACCTGTTAAAGTGACACCTAATTACATATTCAAACATCATGGACACAAACAGCCAATAACAACCTCAGGTTCTCAAAGTGATACAGCCTGACAAGAAAGGATGGCACTTTTAAAACATTCTTCACTTTTTCACTTAATTAAAATTATGTTTGTTTCTCACAAACTTAAGGTAAAATCTCACCTTCACCTTGAGCCCTGAGGTGTCATAAATGTACCAGTTTACTCTTAAACCCCCTCCCTATTTTTTTTTTTTAATTTTTTTTTTTTTTTTTTTTAAGGAAGCACAAAATAGTATTTCTCCTGAATTTAGTACACATTTCTATAGTGCCTACAGCACGTAAGCATTGAGACTTTGTGGAATACCCAACACAGTATGCTTGCCTATGTGTTTCCTAGGTCTGCAGGTGTCCATATTGCACCAATTAGTCCACAAGGTCTAGTTATGCTATAAATACACAAATTGATTAACACCCTAATCAATCGCTTTATTATTTAGAGATCAAGCCCTTAAAGGTTATAAATTCACATCCATTCGAACTTTCAGAATGGAGTTTGCCAGGAGATCAGAGCAGCGAAGACAGATATTTTTGTTTCTGTGTATTTACATTGTCTCTCCTCCCCTGTCCCTCCACTTACTCCTTCCTCAGTTCAGAGGGCTGTCTGCGCCGGGACCTCGCTCCCTCGCTCTGGCGAAGTTGTAAATATGGCACAGGATCAGCGCACATTTGCGGCTAATGGTATTGTTTCCTCCTCCTCCTCCTCCCTGGGCTGAGGCCTGTCACCGAGAAGCCGCTTCGCCTTTCTAATCCCCGAGCTGGAGTAAAGGCGCTGGCCGGCGGGCCTGCGCTCTCCACCAGGCCTAGGCCTCCCAGCAGCCTGGGAAGAACCGATCTCGTCCACCAAACCCGAGCGAGCAAGAAGGGGGGGATGCGAAATAAACACCTCCTGTGCCACCGAGTCCCCCGTACCCCGGAGAGGAGCTGATCCCCTCCGCTCTCGGCAGCGCCGGGCCGCCCCGGCTCGGAGGCCCGGCCCGGCTGATGGAGAGGGCAGGGAGGGGAAGGGGAGACAAGGAGGGGGGATTACCTGAGCAAATCGGCGTCTGAATCCAACGAGAATCCGAGAGGGGGAGAGAAATCCGCCCCCCTCCCTCCTCAGAGGAGCCGCCGCCGCCGCTGGGCCGCCGCCGCCGCCGCGGAGCAGGAGGAGGAGGGGAGATAATATAACAACAATAATCCGGGCCGGGAGGGGGGCTGGCTCCTCTTCCGTCTCCTCCTCAGTGCAGCGAACATGTAGAGCCGGGGGGTGAGCGCCAGAGACGAATCCCTTCCCCCTGAGCCTGCTTCACAACATCGACACGGGCCGCGCCGGGCCGAACCGGTTCCGAGACGCGGCCCGAACCGCGGGGGGAGCGGCGGGGGGGGGGGGGGGGGGGGGGGGGGGGGGGGGGGGGGGGGGGGCAGAGCCGCGGGGGGGCCGCCGCTCCCTCCGTGTGAGCGAGGGCGGGAGGGCGGAGGAGGGGGCGGCCCGGGCACGGTGAGTCGGTACCGAGCGGAGGGGTGGGGGGAGGAGGAGGAGAAGGAGCAGGAGCGGGAGGGGGGAAGGATCCTGTGCGCGTCTCTCTCGCTCCCTCTCAGAACAAAATGCCGACCGGAAGTGCAGCTGCAGGAATGACTCCCTCCACCGGCGCCAAACACCAACAGCCTCCCCCTTCCCTTCGCCGCCGCCTCCTCGCCCGCTCGCTCAGCCGGCGCCGCTTCCGCCGCCGCTCCGCGCCGCTCCCTCCCAGCGCCGCCGAGCAGCGCCTGGCGGCGCGCGGCCCTCTCCGGGCGCGGCTCTCCCCTGCCCCAGCCCTCCGCCTGCCGCCGGGGCTCCTCGTCTTTTCCTTTTCCCTTCCCTGCTGGTGCGCGGTACGAGCCCGGAGTTCGCGCTCAGGCCTGCGCTGAGAGGAAGGCACCCAGCGATTTGTGAAGAAGTGGCGGTTGAAAAAAAAAAACAAAAAAATCATAATAATGCATATGTACGTGTTTTGGGTTTCTTTTTCGCTTTCCTTACGGATGGTGGGGAGGACTGCAAGTGACCGCAAGGTGCCACCTCGCAGGAGGCAAACGTAAAAAGGAGCCGCGCGAGGAGCCCACGAGGCGGCAGCCCCCTCCGCCCCAGCGGGTGGGACGCGGCAGACCCGGGACGCCGATGGAGTTACTGTTACCGTCACTGTCCGCCCCGGCGTTCGGAAAGAGACTGTGTCGCAGGAACTGAAACACCGAAGGCTGAAAGCCGTGCCGGGGCCAGGGATTTCCAGGCGGACCTCGCGAAACGGAGTGGCTTTGTAAACAACAATTTTAGACGAGCGTGGGGACAACGACAGATGTTAAGGTGAAGGGTCTTTCGCTGGAAGCTGTTGCTCCCCGCCCTCTTCCAGGTTTACTGGAGATATTTTAACGGTGGGTTGCGAAGGACCGGCTTGGAGTATATCCTCCTCTGAAAGATTTTCTGTTTTTCTCTATACAGGTAACGCTGAGTAAACATGCACAGAATAATGGAAGCACTTACATCTAATAAATTCACCGTATTTTTTTTTTTCATACTCACTTCTTTTATGAACTTCTCAGTACTTGGACAAAAATCCTTCTATATTCTTGCTCATCTATGGAATGGATTCAGGATTCAGCCATACACTTGGACACAGCAAGATGTAAATGTCCTGTGACATACAAACATGCCCTTTCAATTCTGGATGGATATTATTTGCACAAAGATATAATATCTTACACCTTACAAGCTACTTGAATCTCTCCAAGACTTAACAATTTCCTGAGCAATGCTCTATCTTTAAGGCAGATTTCAAGCCTGGCTCTCAAGCTTAACTGTTAAATTCATTATATTGGATTAATCAAAGTTTGTTTCACAAGTGTTTTTGTTTGAAAGTACACAAATGAAGACGACACTGGAAAACACCGTAATTCAGTACTTCTATCTAATGGGCTTAAAGGAAAAAAAGTAAACCAGATTCTGAAAGAAATGTATTGTGTGCCTTTGTTATATGTCAGTATAAAAGGTCCCAACCCTACAACTGCTTCTGCATTTATAATTTCAAATTATCCATTTCAAATAATTAGTGTAGCAGATGAAGCATGTTCAAAAATCTTCATGCTTTATTTAATACAGTGCAATTCTGCAAAATAAGGGGGGAATTATCTTTTTTTTTTTTTTCTATGATAAACTGAATTTTAAAATTACCTATTTCAAGGCAGCATATGTGTATTATGTCAGCTTACCTGTGAATTCAAAAAAAAAAAAAGAAAAGATTCTAAAAGGGCAAGGCTGCAGGAATGTTATTTCAATCTACTTCCAACTTACTTAAATAATTCATGTTGTTGGGCTGTTTATATGATTTTTATTAATTCATAAAATGATTTTTTTCTTAATTGATTTAACATTTAAATAAAATGTAAATACTCCTTGTTTTCAAATGCCAGGTGTCTTCCATATCAAATATGGTTTAGGCAGTAGAAACATCATGTAAGACACACCTACTTGACTATTCTGCTTCTGCCAGAATTTTCCAGTGAGAACATCACTGGAAATACTTAAGGCTTTTATAATCCTTTTTAACTAAAGGAATATTTGGAAGCACCTGTTTTGTTTAAATATTATTATGTCACTACCTCCACAAGAAAACAACTAATTTATTAGTTGTTTTAGAAAGTGTTATTGTAACACATGTGAGTAAATTTTTTTCCTTAAGGAATGAAACTGTTAAATATGTTCTATTCTATATTACTGTAATCCACTTTTTACAACAATTCCTCAGCTGCATTCAGACAAGGATTCCTGTATCCCTTTTGTCTTCAGAGGTCTACTCACAACAAATTATTGTTTAATGAAAGCTCACTAGTTCCTAAAAATATTTTAGTACGTATATCTCTTTTTATGTGAAATGGACACAAAATGGAATAAAAACAAGTACTTCCAAATATTATCAGAAAGCACAGCAAAAGATTACTTCAAACCTTATTTCTGCTCCAGGCCTTAGTCATGGGGTGGAGGTAGTCCTAATCTGTATGGGAGGAGCTATGCAGTCACACAACCGTGACTGTGGCACATTAAGGAATGTACTCTGCACTAAACAAAGCTGGTGGCAGTGTAGAGCAGGGCAAGGCTCTTCAAATTCCTCTGAGAAGTCCACACCTATATAGTTGTGAAAATAACTGCAAATTTCAGGGTAAACCTACCACCTAATCTGCTCCCTTTGAAGTCAAGGGAGAATATGTTTTTTTCTCTAAACAAATGATTGGGCTCCCATAAATATGAAGTATTTGCATAGCCAGTTATTCTGAGACTCATTCCTTGTTCTTTAAAGAGAACATATAATTCAGTAATTTTAATGTAACTTTAAAAGGCAGGAACTCTCAAATGCTTTTCACCAAAATACATACCATTCTTGCTGCTTTTTACAGCTTTCTGCTTGCAAGGCCATTACCATTATGTGCATGTACACTGTTTAAAACAGGGGAAAGGACTCTTCCCTGTTCGTTTGATGTTAATGTTCCTGACAGCTACATGTTTCTATTCGGCTTCATAAATTATAGACAGTATGTAATATTGTAGTAAAAACACACCTAGAACCAATATTTTCTTAACAATCGCTTGTTGACATTTAATTTTTTTCTCTAGAATGAATGAAAAGTGTATTGTACTTCTCCACGTTTTGTTTTCTTTAAAGGCTAGTTAACATACAATTGCATGTCATTTTAAGTAATTGAGGGAATGCACAGATATTGTTTACTTGTTAATAATTTACAGATAGTATGTATTTCTGTGCAGATTCTTTTTTTTTAAATTAAAGTGTTTATTGTTCTTTTGTTGTTGTTTTTTACTAAATGGCTTTGAACAACCTGATCTGGTGGAAGGTGTTCCTGCTTATGGCAGAGAGGTTGGAACTAGGTGGTCCTTTCAACTTAGGCCATTCCATGCCTCCATGATTCCATGACTGTAAATTTCTCAGGTAGTTGAAAGAAACTTTCCCTCAAAATGTTGTTAACTCATTATATGAATTATATGAATATGCCTGCTGTCATCCTAAACTCAAGTACTCAAATTCTTGGAAAATGCTATAAAGGTTGGACTACAACACTGGGTAGGATTAATGTAAATATGAATGCAGCATGTGAAGTAACACAAAGTGACATTCTTTGCATTAACTTTAGTTCACAGGAGCAAATAGTAGCAGCACTTAATTAATTCATTGGGGAATATTCATCTTCAGAAGCAAGCAGTCTGAATGTCAAATAATGACTTCAGTGATACCAGTAAAATAAAAATCCAAGCAAACACGTAGACTGAGGTGTAAAACCTTTGCACAAGTAGTTGCTGCAAGTCTACTATATTGTCACTGCTTTTTTTTTTTTTTCTTTTTTTTCTTTTTCCCCTTTTTGGAAAGCCAGATAAAGATAACAATTTCTTCTCCTCACTCCAAATATCTAGCATAAAATGTTAACAAGAGTGTCATGACATGAAATACTACTACTACTTTTTTTTTTTCCTAAGTTAGAAAATTGCATGATCTGTACTATATTAATGTGCTTTTGATTGTATAGGGATCAGATATGAATCTTATGGCATATGTTTTGAAACATACTTGCAAAAAAACAGTTCTCTTTGAAGGAAAAGTGATAGAAGATGTAACCCTAGTGTTTTCATTTGAACGTTATGGTCAGTTTCTGATTGTTCAAAGCACTTGACATTCTGAATAATTTAGCTATTAAATACAGATAGTGGATAACATGTAATTTAGACTATAAAATGTAAGAATAACAGATACAATAAAATAGAAATGGAGATCAGTGATAGATAACTCTGCTGAATAAGTAGTCTATCCCAGAATTGTTGTATAAGGGTTATAAGAACAAACAAAAGCTGTTTTTTTAAAGAAGGTTAGTCACTGTACGTTGTCATTGTAAGAAATCTGAAATATGGAGAAAGAGGTTCCTTTCGTACTTTCCTCTGGATACGTATCACCATACATAAACTTCAGAAAGGAAGAAGGTACCATTCCTACTATAACTTCCTGAACTTTCTAGAACTTCTTTAAAATTCTTTGCAGATTCACTGAAGGCCAATATGGACTACTTGTAGAGAAAAGGACAAAAACATTCAAGCAAGATTTTTTTTTTAATTTTATTTTACTTTATTTTTATTTTTTCTCATTTTTTAAAAAGATTTAAAGGTGAGCCAATATAGCTTCATGGCCAGCAAATGAATGTGGACATTCATCTTCTTGCAAAGGACAGAAGTTAAAAATTGGCCTAAAAGACTGTTGTGTTCAGCACAAGCTGAAAGCCACACTTGCATGGATTAAAGAAATGCGAGAAAATCGTATCATGCTTAAAATGCCTTACCACTCCCTTTTTAA